ATTTTCTTAATAAAGCACTAGTCTCAGAGCCCTTTCCATGGGCATTAATTAGTGTTGGTTCAATTGATTGTATTGTTGATATTAAAGTATCACCGTTTGATGCTCTTTGTGACTTCTCAGTAAATTCATTACGAATTGAATTAAAACAGGTTATTGAACAATCATTAGAATCAACTGCAATTATTCCCATTACATCATCATATAGCGTTCCTTTGGTTATTAATGATATTCAAAATAAAATTCTTCATTGGAAGGATAACACAACAAGAAGAATTGGATTACGATATGTTCTGATGAAAGTAAAGGGGTTTAATTTAGAAAATTCAAATGATGTAATGTTTGTGTTTATTAATTTCTTTTAGCAATGGTTCCTTGTTATTTATTTGTTTAGTTTATTTGGTGAAAACATCTTAAATGAATTTTTTGATAAACCATCCGAATATTTTCAAACAGAATTATTCAAATTCATTCAGCGCCATTTCTTCAAGAACCAATTTGATTTCACCTCAATCTATAAATTCTTAAATATACTTAACGAAACAATTATTGCTGTAAAGAATCCTTCTCTTCTTTCTTCAGAAATTGATAAAATAAAGAAGGTGATAGGGATTTTTGAGAAAACTGGAAGGAGTAAAAGAGAAAGACATTTTGAAGAATAAATGTTCAGCTGTGTATTGTTCAAATTTTGTTTGGTAATTGAGTAATGTTTTAATTCAGTTGTTAATTTTTAAGTATTAGGTATATATACAGTTATTATAATTGACAAATTAAACCAAAATACAAATAAATTTAATTTTCACAACATAAAAATCTTGTAGATTTTGATGAAATAATATTCAAGAGAAATGAATTATTCTGCTCGAAATATTTCATTAATAATAAATAAAAATTGACTTATATTAATAAAGCGATGAAATAAAGAAAGCGATAGAATTGATTTAATATTTATAATAAATAAAAATACGATGAATACAACAATAATAATTATTGAAATTAACAAAAATAAGTAAAATAGATTGGAATACAAATAATATTCTACATAGACATATTTAATCAGGAATATAATAGATAAATAATAAGCATTTCTTTAATTATTTGAAAATGGATTATCACTTAAGTGAGTGAAAAAAAAGAAAAGAACTAAGTGGAGTATCTTGAAATGCAATTTAAAGCACCACTACAAAAATTAATTAAATAATATGAAATTAAACGGTTTGAATAAGAAAAATATTTTAGAATAAAAATAACAAAAGTAAAATGACGAAGAATAAGGGACCAAAATAAGTGAATAAATAATATATATAAATAAAAATTATAAAAATAAAAAAGAATAAAATAATTTGCATAAATAAAATAATGTTAAATAATTTGCATCAATAAATTAAACGCTTTTTTTATTGCATATTTCTAATTTCTATAATAAAAAATACATCCATTATTTCATCATTATTTTCATCATTTATTATCTCATTTTGAACTATTCTTTTTTATCTTCTTTCATTTTATATTCTCAACATTCTACTTTTATTCTTTTCATCTTCTTCTACTTCTTAATTTCACTTTTTTTGTTATATCATTCTTTTTCATCATTTTTCTCCTATTTGCTTTTTTTCGTTGCCGTTTTCATCATGTCGAGAAGTTATTATTTCACTTTATTCTTCATGTTTTATTTTTATTCATTTATTGTTTTTTTCAATCATTATCAAATTAAATATTTCATCATTTAATTTGTTATTTGATTTTTATTTTGAAATAAATGAATATTAAAATTATTCATTATTTATTTGTTATTTTATGTTTGACATATCAATAACATTATGATTATGGTTTATCTCATTTATCATCAACATTTTAAATAATCTTTCCTGATAACACATCATGTATTCAACTCAAAATTATCAATGATAAATATATTGTATCATAATAAATAATAATACTACAATCATAATAAATAATAATCATTAATAAATAATAATAAATAATAATCATTATAAATAATAATCGTTATTGATAATACTTCCATAATAATCAGTCATAATAAAAATAAACAATTAGTGTTATGTGGTATGTTATCTCATCAAAGGGATATCATAACCAGAAGATAACTAGGTGATTTGAAACATGGAAATATTAGAGTTTTGTGTTGTGTATCTGAAATACCACATTCAAATCATAAAGAAGAATATAATAATAAAATAAGAAATAATCATCCTTATTCTTATTATTTATTATATTTTATATTTTATATTGATTTTTATCTTTTCTTAACATCACTCGTTTCTTCTTTTTGTCAATTTTTCTATTCTAAACATCATCCATTTCTTCTTTTTATTCTTTGTTATTATTATTTTATATTAGATGATCTTTTTATCATTTTATATTTGTTTATATTGTTTGTTTATATTTTATTATTATTATTTATTGTTGTTTATCTTATATTATTATTTATTATATGTTGTATTGATATTTAACAATGTTAATATGAAATGAATAATAATGAATAAATATAAAATAAGAATCAAATGATATAAGAATATAACATAAATAATAAAATAGAAATATATAATAAATATAAAGATAAAAGAAGAAGAATAAAATAAATAAATATAAAATAATATAAATAAAATAAAAAATAAATAAAAAAGAAAAAAATAAATATTTTATTATATTTTTATTTATCTTTTATTCTTATTTCTTTTTATTATTTAATAAATTAACACCCCCATTGGGTGTGATTCTTTCAAATGAAATGAAATAAAACCAGAATGAAATATGCCCATTTTTATATTCACCATTTCTTTCATTGGCAGATGAAAGAAATGGCTGTTCATATTCATTTATTGATTTTATTTTATATTCTTTTTTAGTTTTTAGTTTTCAAATAAATAATAATGAATAAAAATCATTTCATTTCAATTACAATAATTCGTTGTGGTGTGAAACGTTCTGGAAATTGTTTTCCACAAAGTGCATTTGATATTCCTTTATATTCATATGAATGTTGTTTACAATATGAATTTGTTTTATCACTTTCTTTATAAACAAAAATATCACCTAATCCAAATATAAATAAACAATCAACTGATTGATTAAATAACCAAAATGCATATTGTGGATCTTTAATATCAAATTTCATCATTTCTTCTATTCTTCCTTTTGATTCTATTGAAAATAAAAATGAATTTGGATCATTTATCGAGTTCCAATTACCAATTTTATCAATTTCCTCATTAACATATCCTCCAAATTTATTTCCATCTGTATCTTCAATGATAATTATTATATGTTCTTCATTTATTATTCTTTCTCCAAATACTGATGTATCTTCATTCCAATCATCAATTTCTGAATCAAATAATATATCTCCTACTTCTCTTTCTGTCCATTCTTCTAGTTGTTTAACTTCTTCATTTGATGGTCTGAACTTCTTTTCAATTCTTTTACTTTCCCAATCTATTTTAATATCTTCTAATTCTCCTTTATATCGGTTTGCACTTCTTTTATTTCCTTCAATTAGTTTACTAACTCTTATTTCTTCAGTTTCCATCACTTTTGTAATGATGGTATCAACTTGTTCTGATAATATCTCTTTATCATCATATCTAATTTCATTAATTCTTTGATAGACATTCCTTAAATTATTTAACATCATCATTCCTTCTTTTATTTTATTTCTAATTATTTCATTTCTTCTAACTATTTCTTCTTTTCTATCATAAATTCCTTCGATTCTTTTAATTCTATCTTCTGGACTTTCATTTTCATTATCAGTTATCTCTTCTCCAATTCTATTTTCCCAATTCTCATTATATTCTCGTGCACTTTTCATGATTTCATCAATCTGATTCTTAACACCATTACTTATTTGTTGTAATTCATTAAACGCTTCATTTCTTTCTTCTTTGTTTATGTTCATTCTTCTTTTATTCTTCTTTGTTATTTAGTTTGTTTCTTTTTCTTTTTATTTTCTTATAAACATCATTCATTTATTTTTAAGATCCAATTATTAGTTCAACGATAATTATTAATAGATCATCTATTTTTATCAATTATTATAAATAGATTAAACTAAAATAGATTATTTATTATTTTATTATTTATTATTATTAATAGTTTAAAAACAAAAAGAAGTAATAAAAAGAAGAAAGAAGATAGATGTAATAGATACAAAGATAATATGATATTCACCATTTGATAAACATCAGAAATATTGAGAGATGAAAATATATGAAAAACAGAAAAAGAAGAAAAGAAACAGATAAAAAAAATAACAAATAGTAGATATATCCACAATTTGATTTTATGATTATTGAGAAGTGGTTGTTTCAGTTTCTTCAATACACTCTATTTCTATAATAGAGTTTATTTCTAACATATGAGAATTAGAAGGTTCTTCTTCTAATGTGTTGCCAGTGTTAAATATGTAGAACATTAAATATTTCATATTTTTAATAATGATTGTTCGTAGTATTTTATTGAATTTGATTTGTAATTTTAGTGATTTTAATCTTCTTACTGTTTCTTTATGTATTAATTTATTGTTAATAATACAGGTATTATTTCTACATAAATTAATTCTCTACTTTGTATTAACTTCTCTTGTAATTCTTTGTCTTGTATCCTAACAAGTAATACTACCGTCTTTGTAAATAAGTACACTTTTATTATAAATGACACTCAAATAACATAAATAATAAACACTGATATTCTTACAGTATTGATTAAGATGTTTTTTAACCAAATGCAAGGTCATAGCCAGAGTAGAACTAGAGGTTTAAAGCTTGGATATGTTTTAGGATTCTGTGTGGTGTCTCTAACGTGCTACTTTCGAATCCTTCATTTATATTCAAGTATAAATAAAATAATAAAATAACAAGCAATTACTTAAGTCTTAATAAAATTTGTATTTATTATTCATGGATCAGGTGGAAACTAATCGAACATATGATTCTTCTTCAAGTAGCTCTACCCAGCATATGTTGTGTTGTAGAACAATGTTTCAAGACATCAACCATGTTTTTTATTACATCATTTTTAACTTCTTTTATGATGTCAATTTCAATTTTAATTTCTTTATACTTATTTCTTTTCTTCAAATACACTCTATTGACATTGTGATCTTTAATAATATTCATATCAAATAAAAGACTAGTTTTATTACTTTTATCTAATACATACATATATATATATATATATATATATATATATATATATATATATATATATATCTGGTATTTTATGATATTATCATTCACTTTTTGATATTATTTGTTTGTTCAATATCATAGTATGTCGTTGTATTGGAACACTGTTTCATATTTTGATTTTTTATATTGATTATTTCCTGTGTATTTTCTTATTATCTAATA